ACATATATATATAGATATATGCCTATATATGTATATATAGATCTATGTGTATTTATGGTATAAAATTAAGGAAAAAAGGGAAACAAGCAAGAGAGACAATGTAAGTTTCGCCTTCATGTTTGATTTTGTCTTCATCTTCGTCCTCTTCCTCTTCGTCTTTGTGATAGTGGGTTGCAGAAGAGGCACATCTTTGTCTTCATGAAAAGGGGTTGTAGAAGAGGCATCGAGAGAGAGACAGATGAGGGAAAGAGACAAAAAAAAAAAGGAAAATGGGGTTTTATAGTTGCCACAAAAAAAAAAATCTCATTTTGTTGCTAATGAGATTCAAAGGCAGGACCTCATTAATTGATAATGAAATGCGCGGGGCGTGTTTTTAGTTTTGAATGTTTTCAAAAACATCATTTTTTTTTATTTATAGTTTTGGACCTTGTTTTCAAATAATTTTAAAAAAAAAACAAAAACACATCCCAAAAACATTATTGTTTTATTTTTTTTTTCAAAAAAAAAAAAAAAAACAAATAGTCGGTTACCAAACGCTACCTAAGATAATGCATCAAGGTTTTCCCCGAAACTAAATCAGCCATAAAACACATCGAGCATTGAGCAACAATATTCCACTGTCCTAATCAATCAGAACCAATGAACATGATCAAGTCTTTCATAAGAACATAAAAAACGACAAAGATTCAATTTTCCTAGTACAAACAAAACTCAAGGACGATGTTGGCCCTGCTAAAGAAATTATCATTCAGTAACCATAAGAAACCATGAGCCTAAAGAGAACAACAAGCTCTTGCAAAGGGCTCGCCATTTAAGAATCACCAGATTCAAAGTTAAAAAACACCAAATAGCATGTTGCAAATTCTGATAAGAAATATACCTGGACAAGTTGGGGGCCTGCTAACTTCAGAAAAGTAGCATTTGTTTGGGCAGCACACGCACGGGCCATTAAAGTTTTCCCTGTCCCAGGTGGTCCATACAAAAGCACTCCTTTGGGTGGACGAACTCCTAATTTCTGAAACCGCTCTTTGTGTGTCATGGGCAAAACAATTGCCTCTACTAGTTCTTGGATCTGTGCAATGGAAGTGAAGTCCAAATATAACTCAGATATCATGCAAGTAATTGTCTTATTCCAAGTGTAATCACCTAACCTGTTTCTCCAGCCCTCCAATGTCATTATAGTCTTCAGTTGGTTTTTCATCAACCTCCATTGCCTTAACTCGAGAATCATACTCAGAAGGCAATGTGTCCAATATCAAGTAACTATCTTTGTTCACTCCAACTAAATCACCAGGCTTTAGTTTATCAGGATCAACAAGACCGACCACAGGGCCCTGTGGTCGGTCTTGTTGATCCTGATAAACTAAAGCCTGGTGATTTAGTTGGAGTGAACAAAGATAGTTACTTGATATTGGACACATTGCCTTCTGAGTATGATTCTCGAGTTAAGGCAATGGAGGTTGATGAAAAACCAACTGAAGACTATAATGACATTGGAGGGCTGGAGAAACAGGTTAGGTGATTACACTTGGAATAAGACAATTACTTGCATGATATCTGAGTTATATTTGGACTTCACTTCCATTGCACAGATCCAAGAACTAGTAGAGGCAATTGTTTTGCCCATGACACACAAAGAGCGGTTTCAGAAATTAGGAGTTCGTCCACCCAAAGGAGTGCTTTTGTATGGACCACCTGGGACAGGGAAAACTTTAATGGCCCGTGCGTGTGCTGCCCAAACAAATGCTACTTTTCTGAAGTTAGCAGGCCCCCAACTTGTCCAGGTATATTTCTTATCAGAATTTGCAACATGCTATTTGGTGTTTTTTTAACTTTGAATCTGGTGATTCTTAAATGGCGAGCCCTTTGCAAGAGCTTGTTGTTCTCTTTAGGCTCATGGTTTCTTATGGTTACTGAATGATAATTTCTTTAGCAGGGCCAACATCGTCCTTGAGTTTTGTTGTACTAGGAAAATTGAATCTTTGTCGTTTTTTATGTTCTTATGAAAGACTTGATCATGTTCATTGGTTCTGATTGATTAGGACAGTGGAATATTGTTGCTCAATGCTCGATGTGTTTTATGGCTGATTTAGTTTCGGGGAAAACCTTGATGCATTATCTTAGGTAGCGTTTGGTAACCGACTATTTGTTTTTTTTTTTTTTTTTTTGAAAAAAAAATAAAACAATAATGTTTTTGGGATGTGTTTTTGTTTTTTTTTTAAAATTATTTTGAAAACAAGGTCCAAAACTATAAATAAAAAAAAATGATGTTTTTGAAAACATTCAAAACTAAAAACACGCCCGCGCATTTCATTATCAATTAATGAGGTCCTGCCTTTGAATCTCATTAGCAACAAAATGAGATTTTTTTTTTGTGGCAACTATAAAACCCCATTTTCCTCTTTTTTTTTTGTCTCTTTCCCTCATCTGTCTCTCTCTCGATGCCTCTTCTACAACCCCTTTTCATGAAGACAAAGATGTGCCTCTTCTGCAACCCACTATCACAAAGACGAAGAGGAGAGGACGAAGATGAAGACAAATCAAACATGAAGGCGAAACTTACATTGTCTCTCTTGCTTGTTTCCCTTTTTTCCTTAATTTTATACCATAAATACACATAGATCTATATATACATATATAGGCATATAT